GCTGCTGTTGTTGTTGTTGCTGTTGGTGTTGCTGTTGGTTTTGGTCTTGGTGTTGTTGTGGCTGTTGTGGCTGTGGTTGCTGATGCTGTTGCTGTTGTTGTTTAGTAGTAGTAGTAGCAGCAGCAGCGGCAGCAGTGGTAGTCGTAGTCGTAATCGCAGTCGTAGTCGTGGTCGCAGTCGTAGTCGTCGTAGTAGCAGTAGCAGCAGCAGAAGCAGCAGCAGAAGCAGCTGCAGGGGTAGTAGCAGAAGTAGCAGCAGTAGTAGTAGTAGTAGTAGTAGCAGCAGCAGCAGCAGCAGCAGCAGCTGCTGTTGTAGTTGCAGATGTAGCAGTTGTAGTTGCAGTTGTAGCTGTTGAAGCTCCTGCTGCTGCTGCTGCTCCTGCTGCTGCCTTTGCTGCTGTTGGTGTTGCTGTTGCAGTTGCTGTTGCTGCTGCTGCTGCTGCTGGTGTTGCTGGTGTTGCTGTTGCTGCTGCTGTTGCTGTTGCTGTTGCTGTTGCTGTGTCTGTGGGTGTGTTTGTGTCTGTGTCTGTGTCGGTGCCATTGACTGTGGCTGTGGCTGTGGCTGTTGCTGTTGATGTTGTTGTTGTTGTTGCTGTTGCTGTTCTTGTTTACACTGCTGTCCGTTGTTGTTGCTGTTGCTTCTGAACTTGTTGATGTTGATCGTGATTGAGCATAGAGTCGGCCGTGCTTCCAGGGAATGGCACCGAACTTTTCCATGTGACGGACATGTGGACCGGCGGAGACAATCCGCAGCTACGCTTACGTTCAGACAAAGACAGTCGGACATCTTACTGGAGAGGATGTCCGAGGGCCATACCGGCTCCATAGTAAGTCGGTCGTAGCTCTCTCGGTAAAGCTGGTGTAGCACGTGGGGTTGACAGGTGGGATGCCCAGGCGGCCAAACTGCGTCATCAAGGGTCCAAGATGTCGTGTTCTTGCAGAACCCGTGGTTTCAACGTATATCACGATTGCGAGTCCTGGCCACGCAGTGGCTTGCGTTTACAAGCGGAAGTAGGCCGTGCCGCACCGTCCGATAATAGTGCCTCTTCGGTCGCTTTTCTTCTAGTCTCGACGGACTCGTTCCTGCTGCGCTTAAAGTGCAGTTGAGTCTGAACCTGCCAAGCCTCAGGATATGAGATGCTCAGTAAAGTGGGTCTGCAATACGCGAATAGGCAGAGGTGATTTCCAGACTTGCTTTGGGCTCGTTCCTCCGGAGTGGCCAGGCTTACATTATCTCTTGAGTTCTCCGCCTCGAAGCGTGAAAACAGGCGGTTGCAGTGTTGAGAGGCGGCCGGAAGCTCGTAGTGTCAACAGACTTGATAAGTATAACATTCGAGCTGTCAGAATCATGATACCATAGTTGAAGCCGCAACATCGTTTTGCTCGCTGTCCTTGTCACATTCTCTGGATTGGGGGGTTTTCGTGGGGGTAATTTGAAATCCAATTCACCATGCACAGTTGTTGGAGACAATCTGTTTTTTGTCACGTCGTTGATTGGTTGGTGCGTGGGTTGGTGTACAGTTGGTTCCTTGCTTCGATGCTAGGTCGATCTCAACCAAGCAGAACTTGCCAATGCACATCACAGCAGTATATTGCACCGCTCTTGCTTGGCACCTTTCCAAGATCAGTACGGCTGTCACCTCCCCTTGTCTGTTGTAGGGTGTGCATCAAAGCTCTCCGAACAGCAGGCAATGGCAAGACGGGGGCCAGTAAAGGTACTCGTGCTGCTAGGTTGGTACCAGCTCTGCTGCTGTGGGAAGTTGTGGACGGCAGCTGACTCACCGTTCTTTGCTTTTTTGGCTCTGGGCTTCGTAGCTGGCGCATGGTGAGTCATGGCGCGAGCATGCCATGCTCTCGGATGAATCTGGGAGCATGTGCCGTGCACTTGTGGGCGCTTTCGAAAGCATATCATCTGTCATAGAGCACTGCTTCGCATTGATTCGCAGTGTTCTCATGAGGCATTGTGCTCCTGCTGGCTGTGGCATCTGTTGCGCATAAGGCCAGTGCAAGTCGTGACAGTAGTGTCAGCCTGAAAGTTGGAGCGGGTGGTGAGCAAAGCTCAGCACTCTGCCAGAGACGTCTTGCTGCTTGCTGTGACTTCTGTGAACACATAAACGCACACTTTTCTTCTTGCTTTTCTTGCTTGGCCGCTTGGCCAGGTTCAGAGAAATGTAGTGCTGCCTGGAGCCAAGAATTCAAAAAAGCGGTCGATGGGTTGAGGGAAAAGCGAGCATGCCATGCTTTGAGCGGCCAATGTAAGATGTTCTGCTGTGCTCAATGAAAGTCCACTTCAACCATGTGCTGGGCTCAACAACGGGAGTTGGTGCGGAGGCGAAGTCGGCTGAATGGTGTTGTTACGACACCCCAGCAGCAGCTGCGCACGTGCCTGGCCTTGTTGAGCACCAATGCAGCAGTTGAAAGCACAGTCCAATCTCCCGCTTCTTCTGCTGTTCTGCTGACTGCTTAGTGGTCATGACGACTGCCCGTACGAATGGGTCTTGTGCTGCCAGGTGCAACGCATATCCATATGAAGCCGCAATTGCACCTCTGTTGCAGAAGGAATGTTCAGCCAAAGATGCGACACAGCAAGTGCTGTGTCATCGCAAGCTCTTGTCACCACCGAGGACGTCTTTCGAGGGAAGGAGAAGCTGACAACAGACAAGCCTCTGCCTCAGACATCGGCATGTTGAGCACTTCTGTGTGCACCCATGAAGTGACGCACACGTGCACCCGGCCCTAGGCAGCTTTCATACAGACAGTGCCGCGACTTTGATGTGTCTCTGAAGGCATCGGTACATTCTCTTTCCGGCCACAGGCAAGCAGCGTTACCAGCATGTGCCAGTCGCAGGAGAATGACAAGTTGGACTTCAAGATCGGCAATGTTACCACGGGCACATTTTCTGTGTACTTACCTCATGTCCTGCTCCGGAATTTAGCGCAAGCTTTTTTCGGTCGCTGGCAGTCTGACATCACAAGGTCGGAGCTGCCCCAGTCAAACGCTCTTCTTCTGCTGGTGATTTATCGCTTTGGGCCCAGTGAAACTCATTCTGGCACCAGGATATCTTTGGCTTGCAGAAGAGGGTCTTTTGCCGCCCATTGCCGCTGATCTTCTAAGGTCATGACGTTGAAAGCACGGCAGTGTCGTTCGAGTCTCACATGTTCATGGCAGACGAGCCGAACCCACAGGTGCTTTCATTCTTATGTTCGCGATTAAGTCTTCGAAACCAATGCTGGAATACCGTAGGTGTTTCTGCACGTATGCAGCAGGTTGCCGTGATCGACACATTTCTGGGCACGACGGAATTCAGGCAGAGCGGCTGTCAGAGATGAGAGGGTTTCCCCCTGCCACGAAGCCTTTTGCCACTGTCTTCCACGCATCACTGCATTATTGAAACTTCTTGCGGGCCTTTGCTTTGCGCTGTTGCAGCGACGAGGCAGCCAGAGCGCGGCTTGGGGCATCAAGCTTCTTCATTGTTTCGCCTGTCAGGCCGATCATCTATTCTGGCAACCTCTCGGAGACACTTCGATTCGGCAGAGTCCAGCAGCTCAGTGAATCATGCCTCTCAAGCTTTGCAGGCAGAAGGATGCGCCTTTTGGTAGCTAGGCCGCAAACTAGAGAATGAATGAACGAAATGCTTGAAGTCTCCGGGCTCAAGCCACACCCACTCTGAACGTTCTGCTTCGCAACCCTCACGGAATCTGCTTTCTTTCTCTGAGCTGGTTCTTACGTACAGTCATTGCAGCCCGCCAATCAGTCAGCCTCTGCCCGTAGGGTGCCGTGCAGAAGCTTATGTGTTTTGCAGGTCATCTCTTTGTCCCCAGGGGACTATGCCATTCACCTCCAGAACGATGCCAACGTGACCCAGGAGGGGGGAATTTCGGAAGACATCACCTTCAAAACTGTCACTCGGTTCTGTCTTGGACTTGCAGGATGTGGTCCCCGTCCATGGCTAAGTGGCCATGATGCGGAAGGAGTGTCAAGATGTGCCTACCTTTGTACTTCACTGAGGTCCGAGCACGAAAAGGTGACAAGTATGTTGTGCATCGCTCAGCACAGACCAAGCTTTAGGTGTGCTTTTTTGTGCTCGTCTCGGACTCCATCCTGCCCGGCCTGCCCCTCCTGTGCCCAGGTGCTTCGCTCCGGCATCCAGGCTCAGCGCGGGCCCAGTTTCCAGCAGGACGGAATGCAGCATGCCTTTGCCTCGGCAGAGTCTCCCTCCCAGCACTTCAAAAGGCCAAGCAACGAGCTGCAGTAGACGAAATGAATTTCAACCCAATTGGAACACCTACCTTTGATCTAATTATGACGATCCAGTGTAGATTCCAGGATGCTTTACAACCTGTCGCAGCCGGAGAGTCTCAATCAATTGAGTTGGTCGAAGGCGGTTTTCTTGCCGTCGATTGCACTTTCACTTGGAAGCCATGAAGATGAGTGCTCTGCGTGCGGCGGTGCAGAAGGACGCTTTGGGATGAAGTCTTCCTGAGAGTCAGTGATAGCCGAGCGCTGCCAGGGTCTCGCAGCCGTGCGTGTGAACACCAAGCAGGGCAGACATCGACCGTTCAGCAGCATTGTACCAGAAGCTGCTGAGGCAAAAGGCGCGGAGAGAGAGAGCGAACTGGGGACTCGGGGTTCTGTTGCAACTGCACCTCTGAACACGAGACGGTACTGGCAGTTGAGTGGCATCCATGAACTCAGCCCGTAGACCCTATTCGCGAAAGCGTTGGGGCAGAGCGGAGCTATCGGTCGCCATCGCCAGTGTGTAGCCAAAAACTGTCCCCGGCCTGCACAAAGCGGTGTGCCCCTGACACACCAGCTACTTGGCGAGGCAGAAAATCGCAAGTGAAAACTCCCGATGGCCACATATCACGAGCGGACAGCTATTCCTCCAAACCGGATCCCTTTACGAGGCCATGCATGTCGCAGGGACCCTCATACATGGCTGCAACTATCAGCACAGTGACTGATTAGTGTCCGAATTTTGATGATGGCGAGATGATGCGAGATGCCGATGCAAGAGCGCCCTTCACTCCACTGCAAAGAGCTCAGTGGCCGGATGCCGTCTAGAGTCTAGTGTAGAGTTTAGTGCGTTTCAGAAGCAGTGCAAATTGGAGACGGTGCTCACTCTTGGATACAATCAGTGCTCGAAAAGATATCCGGCCCTCAACTGCACGACTCCTTTCCGTGGGTTCCCAACATGTTGCGTGTTTGCTAGTCTTGGAACAGTCACTCAAACACCCAACACCTCCAGTATGGCCTGGGGTTGGTGCCAGAAGCGCTCCTGCCTAAGGAGGCAGCGGGCAGTACGACTAGAAGCCGGGTGTGTAACAGCGTTTCTCGTTGCGAGGAATGCCATCGGATCGCAAATTAGGCACACATTCGGTGCTTTGATTCGACATCGAACATGGCAGTCACGCAAGCAGATGTTGAAACAAAGCCCGGCTTGTGTTTGTAGATGAGCCTTGCTGCAGGAAAGGATACTACTTCAAACCTCGACGTGACTCTCGTCAAGACCTCCTCAGATGCGGTCGACGTCTCAGGAGTTGGTCAGGGAGGTGCGTTGAGGTGGCGTCGATGCAGGTGTCTTCGCCACGGCTCTCGGATCCGAAGCGGGGCGTGTCGAAAGAGGACGCTGACTTCAGCGGACACCAGCTCCTGCTTCCAGGTCATGGTGTAGTGGTAAAGCTGCAGTGGACATGTGCTAGCACGTGCAAGTCTTCCAGGTGGTTTTGAAGAAGTACTCGACACAGCCGAGGAGTGATTCACAATCTCAGAAGCCTGTGCGAAGCCCAAAACTCTGGCAGGAGCCGTTAGATTTCCAAGCTCTGCACATAAAGCGGGTAAACTGCTTGGATGAAGACGAGTTCGAAGCGCAGCGCCGTCGAGCGCTGCATATCGCCCGGGATATGCGATAGTGGGCGCCTGAGAGGCAAAGCGCCAGGCAAAAAAGATGGCCCCTCGGCCCTTTGAGCTTTCTCTTGGCGTTTCTGCCGAGAACTGAACCCTCGTTTCTGAATTTTTGTATGCGTTTTGTGCGTTTCATGCGGCCCATGCTCAGATTCTCCGATCTTCTTCGAATCTTCTCCTATGACATTGGCATGTTCCAAGCGCCATGGAGCCGGCCCCAGTAGGCCCGCGTTTGACGGGTGCAGCCCGGGTGCAAGATCCTTTGCAGGGTTATTGAGCTCCTTCCTCAATGGACTCATTGGACTCAAGACGGAACCTGGCAGGCGGCAGGCTGCCATGGTGAGCCAAGCGGTTTTTGCGGATTTGTGTCGCTGGCCTGCTCTTGGAGCCGCTGTTCTCCACAGAGCGTCGGAAGCAGGGTTTGTATTAGGGTGTCGGTCTCAGGGTGACTGTATGTAGGGCTCCCTCTGGATGCTGGGAAGTACGAGTTTGGGTTGCTTGTCGGCGATGCCAGCAGTTACTTGCAATAAATACCCAGACGACCCTGCTTCTTGTGGCATTGAAACGTGCCTGAGTGATGCTGTAGGATTTCCTTAGCTTTGTGTCCAGTGGTCCAGACAAGAGCTACTAGTCGAAACGATTGCAGTGTTCAATGCCACAAATATAGACCGGCCGGCGGCGACTTGAGTGTTTGAACAACTTCTCCTATCTTCGAAAGCTGTAGATGCGGCAAGCGTCCGCCGACTGTCCTTTCATCAAGCCCAACGTGTATTGGTGGAGGACAGTTTTGAGGATCTCGGGTCCGAAAGCTCTCGAGCGGCAATGGTCGCGACAGAACCCTGGTGAGACGCACAATGGGCGTCTTCAACGCTGCCTTTGTTTCTAGTGGCACAGGGTGAACCCATTACCGGAGCATGCAGTATTCTGTGCTCGGTCTTTGTCTGTGGAGTCTGCATCCAGAGACCACATCGGCAAAAGAGGACACGCACATTTCTTCGTGTTTTTGCTGTGCCATCTGCTGTTGGATTGCTGCGAAGACTTGCAAGACGGTGCTTCTGCTCGCGTGCAGGCAGGCACGGAAGCTGTCGTTCTTTGCCGTAGCATGTAGAGATGCAGAGCCCTTCATTCCTTGTCCTTGTGTGTTATATGTGAAGCTTTGCAACAATGCGTTTCACTGCAGCCCTTCGCCTGCGGCGTTTGTGGTCGCAGGAGGTGAACGCAGGTTGAGGGCATCTGGTCTGACACTTGCCATTGCTGGCCAGTTTGCGGAGGTTTTGGAATGCTTAGGACCAAGGGGATTTGGGGTTTAGGTTCACTGTGAAGGGGGACGGTTGCCCGCGAGTCAGCGCTTTCGGCTCGCCTGTGCCGCCACGGGCCGGGGCCGTCGCCATGCAGGCTATGGCGCAAATGGACATGAGGAAGGCCGGAGCGGGTTGCAGTTCTCGCCGCGCATGTCTGTGTTTCGCCTCCGTTGCAGACCTGGGTTTTCCTGCGGCGCTTCATGAAGCCGAAGAGACCGCATGTGGAGAAGCTGGATGACATCATTCCCAAGGAAGGCTCGGCTTTTGGAACATCGTATCAGCTACGGAGCTCGTGCCTTCAAGGTGTCGAGGAGGGCCACGGCCACAGCCTCAAGACCAGTGCCCCTTGGTCCTCTCATCCGTCGCAGGGAGAGTGATGGAGAGTGATGGAGAGTGTGGAGTGCACTGAGTGCACTGAGTGCACTGAGTGCACCACTGCGGCACCCAAGGACCCGAGCCGAGATCCGAGGCTGAGAAGCAGGTGCAGCAGGTCCAGGTCGAAGAGGAAGGCGACGCCAAGGCGCGAGGAGCTTTGCGAGCCGCAAGGAGCTCCGGGAGCTCCGGGAGCTCCGGGCCGAGGGGCGCCCCTGGGCGCGTCGCGCGCGGCGCTTGGCTTGGGACCCCGGAGCCTCCTTGGCTGCGACCGCGATGGCGGTGGCGACCGCGGGGCCCTGGGCGCCTTGGAATGTCTGGCGATCGTCTTGGACGAGTCCAGCCCAGACATCGAACTGCCGGGTGCCATGAAGGACGAAATGCCAAGCAAATCTACGAGCGAGCCAGTGGATGAGGAGAAACGCTCTGCTGAACTTGCCTCAAGACAGCAAGTGTCCGTTGCTGATCCTGAATTCGGGCAGTGTGGCGGCCAGGACGTCTCTGCTTCTGTGAGCTTCCCCTTCATGGAGGAGGAGGGGTGGCAGGGCACTCCCGCATTGCATAGCGCAGGCCCGGTTCCGGTTCCGCTTTGTGCCGCGAATTCTGCGAGGACTTTACAGAATTCTGAGCGCCAAGGCCACGGCCACGATCGGCATGGCTGCTTGGAAGGGCAAAATCGTTGTTTGCTGGTCTTGGCTGCGATGTCTCGTGCCAAGACCTTGTGTGAAGGCAAGTGAAGATACGCGAAGGCTATTTTCTCAAGTCGCAGGTGTTTCAACAGCTTCTTGTCGGCGATGTTTTGCCGTGAATTGCCATCTCTTGCAGATGCAAGCTTAGTCATGCTCGGGAAAGGAGCGTCCCTTAAGACATCTGGTTAGTTTATGTTTGAACCTGTCATGAGTGTAGCTTGGCATGCCTCCGCTCCCGATGGGGATGCAAAGCTTGCATGGCTCATCATGGCTCCAAGTTGATACAGGTGCATTGGCTAGAGCCAACGGCATTTCTAACCCAAGACGGGGAAAAAGAAGCAGTGGCACCAACGAGTCACTTTGTCCAGAATGGTGGATGCATTAGAAGGGTAAGGTTTCAAAGCGCTGTGCCTCATCATTCCTGTCTCTGGGAGCAGTAGGTCAGTAGGATTTTTTTTTTATTGTGTCGGTGAGACACTGCAGAGCAGCAAGAGCTGCTGCAACTGGAAATTGAGGACCTCAAGCTTCGCGCACCGGATTGGGTGGATAGGGATACAGTATCCCTGACCCTGAACAGTGCAACTCTGAAGCTTCATGAGCCGTAAAGGTCCGAAGGCCACCCTGTTGGTGTGGCAGTTGAGGTCCCCTGTGACATTACTTGGATTTCTTCCCGAGCGGAGCTGTGCGTTTCTGGGCCTCTTGGGATTGTTCTAGAGAAAGGGCCCTGTTCGGGTACTGATCCATGTAGACACTCTTGGTACAACCCGCAGCTCTGCTCGCCGCGAGCAGGAAGCTCACGAGCCAGTCCTGTTAACTGCGGCATGTCAATGTCAGAACTCTCAATGTTTCTGAGTTTACATTTTGACATCGCGGTTTGGCCGTGCAGGAGCTCTTGTCGTGAAGCAGACTTTTGTGTTGTTTGTTGTTCGCCGCCAACTTGGGATGCTGCCTTTAAGAGACAGCTTGTATCAGGGCTCTGCGGGAGACTGTGAGCAAAGCACGTAAAAGCTGCTCGCATGTCGCCCAGTGCTTGTGCAGGCCTTGTGCGGCGTTTCCCGGTCTAGAGACCCTCTTGCGTGCCATGTTGATGATTGGAAATCAAAAAGATTCACAGACAGAGCAGCTCGATGGGACCGACCGAAGCTGTTCCACAGGAGCTAATGATGTACCCCGAGCCAGAAGAGGCAGGGAATCCGAGGGTTTGGAGGCTTGTAACCAGAGGATGTTCAATTCTGGAAAGGGCTTTGGCAGTACAGAAGTGCTGGCGATTTTAGTCGTCAAGTACGCTTTGGGAGGCCTTAGTTTTGGAAAGTCCATAGCAGGGGATGACCCTGCCCTGGCAGGATCTGCTGCACAATTTGAAGAGCAGCGCTAGATCCATTGGGGCGCCGGCCCCAGGGCCCCCAGGGCCCCCAGGGCCCGCATGGATGGGTGCAAGGAGACTTTCCAGGTTAGTGATTTCCTGGATGGGATGGCGCTGAATTTCGCCATGGCCAGATTTGCTTTGCCATCTTTTGAGGCCAGCTCTCTGCTGATTCCGACCATCATGATCGCGTTCCAGCAGGTACTTCGTGCTTGTTCTTAGAGAGGTTTAGCCGGCTTCGTGTGCAGCTTTCGTTTCCGCTCAGCGCCTGGGAAGCCTCGCGCTACTGGCAGCGCTGCTGGCACAAGCGTGCGAAGCTGAGCTGGCAGCCGCGGCACAAGTCCGCGCTGTCACAGGTTGTTCGCTTCAGCCCCACAAAGCTATGATTTCGGTTCCGTCACTGCACGGTGTCTCGTCTTGTTACACTTGGCTCTTTTACATGATTCCGGGTTATGTCAGGAGAGGTTCGCCTACGTTGGCACCTTTAGCACACGAATGCGTTGTGTGACACTATATTCCGCCTATGCTCTTGGCCATGTCCGCTCAAGCATAGATGTCGGTCTAACGTCTAACGTCAACAAGCATGTTGTCAGTGCAGGCAGGCGACGCAGCTCTCCCCTGGGACGCCACGGAAAGCTTTCGAGGCGGTGTCATGGTGGTGATCCGACGATTTTTGACGAGCAGTTGGCCTCAAACCTTGACAGCATCCGTGGGTTGCAAAAACCTGCTCAGGGCTATGAGGGGCAGCGTGGGGGGCGTAGAGGCTGCAGTACAGGAATCATTTATTCACAAAGCGGGGAGTTCGGGCACAAAGCTTCCCTGCCTCCATATACCGACACTCCCTGCAAAACGACACGGTGGAACTCTTGGCCATGAAACAGCAATGGAGTCATCGCTCCCTATTTCATGAACTTTTTTGTTGGCACTACACACTACATCAATATGTCGATGTACTTTTTCAGCATTTCAAGAGCTGCTCCAGAGCAGAGTTCAGCTCTCTTGTTGCCAAATCTTCTGATCCCACACAGACTCTTTTCCACAAAAGCCTTTTTAAGGTCAGCCGGCCGCTTCATAGGGAGGATGCAGAGGGGCTGCCACCGCAATGTCTTTTTGTGGAGTAGCAATGCATCCGGGTATTTTCCGTGGGCAGTCTGTGAAAACTACTGGAACGCCGAGTCCGGAGCAGTTCTGCTTTGTGAGGCCGCGGCCCCCGTCCAGATGCCTCAGCAAGCACCTCGAAGGGCAGCCTATCAGGTCGCAGCATATCGCAAAGACGCGCACAAGCACGAACACAGTCTACGAAGGTTAGATGATGTTTAAGTGCACCATGCTTTCAGCCTGGCTTGAGCACCCAGGCTAAGGGTTTGCAACGCATTCCCCTCCAAAGAGCCGCTCTCTGTGGCCTGGAGAGACGTCGTCCTTACGGGTGACGAGTCGGGAAGCTCAGTGATAAGCTCTTTGCACTCTAACCCTTTGATGTCCGTTCCAACCATGCCAGTCACTGGTACCTTGATGTGTCGCGAACCCCCCACCATTCAGTCTCTGCTGGCAAGTTAGATCTTTGGCGAAGTCGCACAACTCAATTCCTGCACCTGACTCATTCAGTTCTAGTGATGATTAAGACGAGCATAGCAATGATGTTGCTGGCAGATGATGATGTTCATGGTCATGATAATCATCGCCTTCATCAGCGAATAAGTACGCGTTGTGCAAAGTTCAAGCCTTCTGGCAAGCCGTTAAACCAGCGTGAGAGTGACAGTCTGCCAGACCATCCGTTGCTAGTTTTTTAGGAGGACTTGCGCCCCTCGCTGTCGAGGCCGTTGCCGTACAAGGCATGTCGGGACATACCTTTGTCGAGCGCAATGAAGGCTCCTTGCACGGAAAGCCGACGGGCTTGGATTCGAAGGGGGTTGAGAGGTTCCAGCCAGTAAGTTGGTAGCCACGGGTGAGACACGCATAGGTGGATCTCGTTGATTGTGCGCAGAGGCCGTTCGGTGGGGAACGGCGCTGTTGCAACTTTGAAAGAGATTTGATACTCGTGACCAGTGGTATGTTGCAGGATCTCTGCCACAATGCCCCAGGATCCCTCATCTTCTATGGGCTGTTCGTGACATGTCTCTGTTCCTACCGTCTTGCGATGCACAGACACGAAGTTGCCGTCACTTTGCTTATGGCCCTGCTTGCCATGAAGTATTGGAAGTAGGAAGTACTTCCGTCTGCAGCAGCTTTCATTCTGATGACCCGGAAGTGCAGTAGAGCATGGCTTGGAAGGCAGGTGAGAAGCTGCACATCGGCTTGCGAAATGGTGCAAGCAACACTTTCCAACTCTCGGCCTCTTGCCTCACATCTCTGACATGCATTCCGTGCGTTGAGTCTGGCGTAGATGGTCTGACCTTGCATCCGAGGAACTTCCGAAATCTTCCTCGCTTCTGCTATTGGTCTGCTTCCGTGGGAGGCCTAGAGGCCAACAGGTGCTCAGCCAAAGCATCTCGTGGCGAGGGTCCAGGGCTGGGAAGCGGAATGACTCGACATCTGCGAAGCCTGCAGGACAGGGGAAGACCGCGCTGGATCTTTCCTTCCGCTCGCATGCTTTCGAACCAATACAGAATGAGTCTGTCTCAATTGTCGGGATCTCGGAACGCCTGCAGCATCTTCACAAAGTGTGGCTGACTGCTGCCTCTTCTGGGACCACTGCAGCGGCATTTTGGGCATGCCGAGGGTTCAGGAGCTAGGTCCGCATTCGGCTCACCTTGCTGCGTTGAGGCGGTGCTGGACACCTATGATGTCAGACCGTCGCGTTTGGGACCGTTGCAGTCTTGCTTTGTCCCACTCTTGCTGGACCTTGGGTCTGCTGTGGGCAAGTGACTTTCTGTTTCTGCCAGGGCTCGGAGAAGTCCGAAGTGCGGATTGGCCGCGACATGGAAGTGAACACAGGCGCCCATCTCCGGGATCGACAATCGGATGTTTAGAGCCGTGCTCCAGCTCTGGCTCAGCTAAGGAGGCGGTGAGCAGATGTGGTATGACTCAGTCGTGTCTGCTGGGGCCTCGCAGCTCCCACGCCCCTCGAAGTGTCCATTGTCCATCTGTAGCAGATCAGTTCGATTCCTCGGCATCAGCAAGCATCAGCCGCTCAGTAGACCAATGGTGGTCCCCGACATAGAGACACCTCGCAAAGCATCTTCGTATGCGCTCGCTGATGAATTGCATTGAAGTGGAGGGTGTCGGAAGCACGGAAGGTGCGCAGGTTGACTGGATTTCGACTGACTGTCTCGGATATCGATCATATCCTCAGGTCAGTCCGGGCAACTACCGGCTCTGGCTACGGAGCGATGACAAGACGAAGGATTCCGACGGTTGTGTCATGTCACTATCGCGATAATGCTTGCACGAAGCCAGTGCCGTTCGCCTACTCCTCAACCTGTTGGTTGGAAGCCTGACACTTGATCCATTGTCAGCATACATGCGAACATAGACCTGAAGCGGATGGAATTGAAGTTGCCGGACAGTGGAGGACCCACGATTGAACCCCCCGTATAGGAAGCGTTGATGTGCAGTCGTGTGCGGGGAGTGTGCGTGCGTCCACCGACCTTGTGCCTTGTGCCAAAGAGCTAAGTAACACCGTTGCACAGAACCCAAAACAACAGCTTGCAGCTTGCAGGGGGCTGGAGCATTCACTGTCGTTCTCATGCCTCACCTGCTTTGCAGCACCCGACCTCTCGGATACAGCCTTTCCCACACTTGCTCGAATTCGGCCAGCAAGCCCGAATCGAAGCCATCACAGAAGCGCCTGTAGCGATCGGCCGGCTTCTTGGACATCGAGGAGAGGAGAGCCCAAGACGACACCGGACAGCCATCAGACGATTGGCACCTACCTTTCGTTGCAGGAACGATCAGGAACCCACTTCGGGCAAACTCGATTCGTCAGAAGCTCGTGAGTAGCACAGACTAAGACTGAAGAGATTGAAGCTGATAGTTTGGCTTGGACTTGTTCTCGTCGCCTGGTTCATACCCCGAATGGGCCAGGATGATCTGCGGTTTGCTGCAAGCACGGCAACCACGTATGTAGCAGAGCACCCAGAATACTGCTGATCAGCCGGTACATCACACTCGCAGAGAGGTGTCCTGCAGTTTTTCCGACCAGGTCATGCGCGTCGGAGGGGAACCTCACGAGTCATCTGATGGTGCGGAGTTCCCGCAGGCGACTACATGACTGACACTTGCCAGAATTCACTGGGGGAAGAGTTCGACCGGCGAGCCTTTTCAATTGTCGCAGGAGCTCATGATTTTCCCACGGAAAGAGACAGAGGGGGAGCCACTGCGGGATGACTTCGCTCACCACAGGTGGGCGACTGGAAGAGTATTAATATGATGGTAGATTTGGCGTTGAAACAAACATATCCAAACGAAGTGTTGTGCAGCTCACGTGGCTCGGAGGTGTTAAGATGCATGCCGGGCCAGCAGATAGCAGATTCAAGTCCATGATGATGCACTCGACGGGCGCATCGTGTGATCCCTTGCTCGGTCTTTCAGGAGTGCTGCATCGTCCGCTGGGGCACGCAGCCCAGCATTGCGGAGGTTGCAATTTGATCAGTAGGGTTACTGCTGATTACACAGACAAGAACAATAGTATAGTAGTATCAGCGATGCTCAGGTTCAGCTGCGGATAGGGCAAGTGAGGTTATTTCCGTTTCGTCATGATTGCAGTTGCTTCTGCTTCAATGTCAAGCGTGGGTTGACCTTCCAATACTGTTGAGCAAAGCCGTCGAGGTGAGTGTGCTCTTTGGGTTGATGGCCATGCTCTGCTGGTCTTGATCTACGGCAGGGTCGAAAAGAAGCCACGAGCCGGAGTTCGACTGCTGCCATGTCGTGCCTGTAGGGTTCTGACTCTTGATCTCTGTGGCTGTCAAGCGTCAAAGTAGTTTCTAGGTATGTTCCAGCAGAAGCAAGCAAGCAATTCCCCAGCCGAGCACAGACATTAGACCTATCGAGCTCTCATAGCCTAGCTTGCAAAAATGACCAGAAAGAGTGGCAGAGACCCTCGCGTACATGCTCAGATCAGTCTCAGTTCAACAGGCGTCGGTACGGCTTTAGCCACTTAGCACTGCATGTGGTTGGTGCGGCGTGCTACACGTGCTTGGCCTTCGTGGCTCTACAGCAGCTTTGTGAGTTGCCGTTGGCATACCAGACTGACTGTTGAAAAAGGTCACACCTGGTGGCCTTCGTTCTGTTACAGCTGGCCACAGCCGGTGCGGGACACGTGGCGAGCAAGCAGCACACGACTTTGCCCGAAAGAGACTATTTCAATACGCTGTCTGCATGCCTTGAATTATCTTGAATTCCGGTGCTCCCTGCTCAGATCACATGCGAGGCTCTGAGCATTTGCGAAGTCTTCATGGCCGATGGCTGCAGCAGGCGAGCGGTTTCGGGCCGGTATGATTTTTCAAACGTGCCGAATGCTGTGTGCTGCGTTGAGCGAGGTGCGAACAGCTCATTCGTTCAGCTAAAAAGCGGAGTTGTGTGATTAAGACTAAGTCCAATAGTCAGTTTGCTTTCGCGACGCACAGTCTCGATCCGGAGCTAAGCCGTAGGCACTTTTGTGTCCTTCAGAAGAAGATTTTATAAGATTCGCCACTAGTAGCGTCTGAAACCCAACCCTCCACAGGCCCGAGACACTCTGAGCATCTCTGAACTCTGAACGTCTCCAGGGCTCTGATCGCCCTTTGGAGATGTCACTAATCGTTGCCAGCCTGTGCCTTCCCAGTGCTTGAGAGGACAACGCTTCGATGCCTGCACCTTGGGTATAGTCTCGATGGCGGATCGGGAGTTTCCGTGACCTCATGTCATCACGTTTTGTTCTCACCCCCCGAGGGAGATGGGGCCGGTGGTCTGCGCAGCGAAGCCGGCGGTAAGTTTTGCCGATCAGCACCCTTGCCATGAATTAGCTCCGAAGAACTCTGGTTTCGCCGAAGAAATCGTAAACCAGCGTCAGCTGGCTCCGGCGAGCGATCTATCTTCTCTGAATGAACTCCTTTGCCTGAGGAAGCCCATGTGCCAGCCGTGTGCCGCCATCACTATCGATGACCCCGTCAAGAGGAGCGGCAGTTGCGCATGGTGAATCGGAGAGCATGATTTGTAACTTCGCAGAAACAAGCCAGCATTTGTCCTGGCAGGTGCATGTTTAACACCAGCACCTGCGAATTTGTGGGGCCCGGCCAAACCTGCGAGATCGACTGTGCTGCGCCATTCGTACGAGTGGGAAACACCAGCATTGGCGTCTGCGCAGCCGGGAATAGTGTCCCGATCCCTGGCCAATGTTCTTTAGAGTTTTCGCGGCCGGCATCGAGCCAAGCGGTACGTCCGCAAGCCCTCTGGACGTCAGATCCTGATGTTTGCCAAGGAACAGGATGCTGGTGTGGCAAGAACCCACCTGCACGTGCCCAGAGCCAGTACCACAGCAGGGCTATTCAAAGGACAGCTCGACTCTCATGGTGTAGGGCTTGTCCGTCTCGTTATGGAGATCGTAGATAGGAGGACCGAAACCGACCAGTGTTGAAGACTCGACGCACTTCAGGACAGTGCTGGGCACTGGCACTGTGCACAGGGCTTCGCCGGAATGCCGGAGATCGTCTGCCAGCCACTTCCAGGCGGGTCAGAGTCGGAGGTTGGGGAGGATGAGGGAGGCAATGTCCGCTGCTGGCAAGGTTGCCTCGGAGTGCAGACGTTTCTGCGCGGTTGTGACAAGCTGGTGCCGTGCGCTATGCCCTCTGTGGACAATTGCAGGCCGAGTGCGGCAATTTGCGGCGCGTTCTGTAAAGTGTCTCGCTCGGCTCCGTGTCGCGCGGCACGGCACAGGTTCGACGTTTCTCGCTGCACCCAAGTGCCTCCGGGAGGGAGCTGTGAGGTGCAGGGCTGAGGCTTCCAGAGATGTGTGTATCGCGATATGTCGCGAGCATCGCTGCTGCCTGTGAGCATGTGGTTTCACAATTTGATTAACATCCCGCTCAGATTCATTGCCAGCGGCCCTTGACTGGAAATCACACAGTGGCAGTCTGCAAGGCAAGCGTGGGGGCAGCTGAAAGTAGTCTGAACATGTAGGTCAATCCTAGCCCAGCACTCAAGGATCAGGGTCCCTCTAAGCCCCAACGCGCTCTGATGTGTTCCACAAGTTCTGACTTTGCAGTTTCAGCACCTTGCCAGGATCTCAACGCAGATCCACTACAGGAGTTGGAGTATTTCCCTCTCACCTGTCTCCTCGAGTCCTGTCCAGACCCATCTCCTTGGCCAATGGGTCTCTGCCCTAGTGATGGATCGAACAATCTGTGAAGGGCAGCGTTTGGGAGTACGCGGTCGGGACCTTTGTCAGATGCGGCCCAGGCTACAACAAGACCCCTGAGGGCAAGTGGACGTGTGCCAACGGCTACAACGGCACTGCCCGCAATCGATGCGAGTTAAGTGAGACTTGGATTGACCGCTACTGTAGAGGCTTCTGCTCCCTTTCGCACGATGTGCCAATGTGGGAGACTTTGGACATGTGTTCCACCAGGACACGTGGACTTCAGACTGCTCTGCTGCAGCAGCCGCCCGCTGCAAGAGTCTTCAAGGCGAGAGGTGTCGGCTCGATCACTTCGCCCTGAAAGTTCAGAAGGTCTCCGAAGGCCCTTAGGAGGCCCTTAAAGTTCGATGTGTGACGTGACTGAGCTTCTCCGAGGCTCTGACTGGCTGTAGGCCAGTGGTCCCCTGCTTGGCTCCGACCGTAACTGGGACGGAGTCTTGTGCACTTGCCTCTCGGCAGCGATTCATCATTATGCAATTATGCACCTAAAAGAGCAGGTCATGTCCAGCCTTTGTCTGACCAAGAGCTGATTGCTCAGTGAATTGCTCAGGACTTCTCTGCTTGCACCTCTGTGGATCCAGGCGAGCAGTGCGAGGCCAGCAAGTCCCTGCTATGTGCCCCCGTGCCACACACACACACAGGTGCTCATACAGGTGCCGACACGTGCGCTGCAGGTTCACTGCAAGAACCCCTACACCGGGGCCAAGACGGAGGACTGATCCTGCTGGTGACATCGCGGTGACACTGCCGTGGGATGTCGTGGGGGGTATACACTCCAGGAACCATGACTGCGATCCCCAACGGCCTAAGATTCCCTTAAGTGCAGCACAGGGCACAGCAGAGGGTCGAGGGCAGCTTTCTTTTGCTGGTGCAATGGCCCTGCGCAGATTCGGCGCAAGCATGGACGAGAGAGTGATGTGTCCATGTCTGTCCATGAAAGTGATCTCAGTTTTGCTTCGGATACATGCGATCAGAAGCTGGCTTCTCAATGGCATCCGCAGGCTTACTGCCCGCAAGGGAACACGAATCCCAACGGATTGGTCTCTCGAAGCAGAAAAGTTTGCCCTGTTCGAGGATAGTAGTCTTCTTGTCTTTTCTTGTTCCTGGCAGCGTGGCAAACATGCGGGTCAGCTCGGATTGGGCACAAAGGTTTGGACGCGGCCGCCGTGCGTCTTGGAGACCTGTGATGAACCTGGCACTATCCCGGCGGGCTTTCGCCGCCACCTGTCACCAATAGTCGAGGGCTTTGGACGTGATACATGCAGGCGAAGACCGTGAAGAGTTGGAAGTTCTTGTAAATGTCGCTTGGAAGCACCCGAGGTGTGAACGACGTGTGGGAGTGTGCCCAAAGCTACACCGGCTTCGCCCAGAAGGCAAGTTCGAAGGATTCAAAGCTGTCCGATGATCCGACGATCGATGGTATTTTAAAGCCTTGGCCAATTGGTGTCAGGTTTGTGACATGACGGAGAACTGCGAGGCTCCTCGGCCTCCGACGCCTGAGCTTCCCTGCACGGCCGTTTACATCCAGGTGCTGAGCATGTGATGTGCAGCGCCTCCTGAGGTTAGGGCCGTCCTGCAGGGCTGTGCCCAGCTGGTGCCTTGCCAAGCGGAGCAGTCTGACTGTCGCCTGGAGCTCAGGCTGCACATGTTTTGTGTTGAGCACTTCAATCACTCGATGCCGACCTGGCGCGTGAAGCGAGGCTACGACATGTACGGCTGTGTCAGCGTCCAGCCCGGATCTACCTGCCGGATTCGATGTCAGGCCTCAACGCGAATACTGCAGCAACCATTTCCTTCACCCCCCCAGCCATCCATCAAGCGTAGACGACAGGGCTGCAGCATGTAGGTTCCGTTTGCCGGCACGGAGACCATGGGAACATGTTTGGATGGCAACACCGCCACCGACGGTTTGGCTCCACGGAATCAATATGTCTTGCCGTTAGAATTTCATGCGGCTTTTGGGATTGATGGTCGATCGGTCACATCGGTTCCGCTTCACTACTCAGCTGCTAAGCTCAGGTTTGGACACCGCCTGTCTGCACGATAGACACTTGCGCCGACCCGGCTGATGGCGGTGGCTATCAGAAGGTGGAGAACGTCTGGGAGTGGCATGGCTGAACCTCCTCCGAGACTGCAAGACTGCTTCACGAGGGTTCGGAACGAACCTTCTTCAACATGATGTCGGCATGAACGGGACTTCCAAGTGTGCCGCGCGTCTCGGGAATAGGCCTGCTGTACTGTGAGTGAGGTGCAGTTTCATGGTGCTGTGCAGGTATGGGTACTGGTAGCGCAAGTGCAGACTGTTCATCTAGAACAAAGCTTCCCAGCTTTATCTGCACAAGTCCCGACCGGCTGCCTCAAGCGTCGCCAAGGTGCGCCCCAGGCTACTCCGGCATGGCCACGAAGACCTGCCAATGGGCGGAGGTGGCGGATGTTTGTGAGAATTGCCGAGAAACTGCAAGCGGGGGAAGTTTGACCCTACCAGGATGCTTGTGAAGCCAGCCCAATGCTCTCCGGCTGCGTGCCGGAGCAACCTTGTCGCCTGCCAGATCTGGGCGACGTACCTTGCATGCCAGGAACTCGGGACAATGAGAATCGTGAGTGTTGGTGATGTCTATGCTGGACCCGGAAATGCTAAATCGCCTTTCTGAACCAGTGTTTGGAGTGTCATGTGCTGAACAAGATGACACTTAAGTCGAAATTCCTCATGACAAGAAAGGGCAAGTTCTCTGGTCTCCGCATATCAAAAAGACCACGGTCGCTGATGGATGAATCCTCACTCAAGAGTCGCATCATGAGAAACATAGCCGGGACTCAAGCCGAAAGCACATTCAGGAGGTGCCCTTGCCATGTGGCCGCATGCAGTTACGGAAGTCAAGGCCGAAACTTCAGCTGCCGGAGCTACAGGGGACTGCTAGAAACGTTCAGCCGCAGGATGGATCGGAGGGCGAAAGGCCATAGCTTCGGTTGACTGTCGCTCTCCGACTTCGGCGCAGCATGGGGTCAAATCTGGCGGTTGGGGATCCATGCTGGTTACA